TACGACATAAACTTATAACAAACAGTTTTAAAAAGGAAGCAATGGTCAGAATAATAAATCATAGAATGAACTCCATTAATTAAACGGGTTTTTAAAAAGCTCATACTGGTATGCTGATATGTCCAATAATAACTGCAACGGTTTTAAGGAAAGCATCGTTCAAACAGCAATAAGACTAGGTTTTCTTGTTTGGTTTTGACCCTTAGCAAAATGAAAATATGCAGCAGTGTATACTGCATATGTGTGGCACACTCTAGAGTGTGCAGTAGGCAAGTTTGTAAAGTGTGCATAAGTGTGCGGTCTGCACATTTTCATAAGTACAGATAGTGTGCAGAAAGTGTGCAAGAGACTTAGTTTTTCAACAGAAGTGTTCAGAAAGTGTCCAATAAACTTACAATTTGATCAGGAGTTTGCCACAAATGTGCAGATTTTTTTTAATCAGGAGTGTGCAACAAGTGTACAGGAACTTAAAAAATTGAAGGTGTGTGTGTTGAGTGCACAGCAAACTTCAAATTTCATCAAGTGCATGCTATTTCAGAGTAATGACCTTATCATTTGATTATTTAACATGTACCAAAACAAGATGTAGGGCCTACATGTACTGCCGTTGACAATTACACAAACAAAATACTTCAACACACATTTTACTTGTGTGTTATCCATCAATTACAAATAATCAATGTTTATATAGAATTTTATTACCATATTTTAATGTGGCAAGTACACTATGATAATAATACACTATTGTGAGCTATAATGTGTATTTATATTACAGGCCAGATAGAAACCAGACAGATTTAAAATCAGCTCAGGTGAAATTAAAATCTATTTCTTTTTGTGCGTATGCAGTTTTAGCTTTTCCTTTGAAAACAAACTGCCAAATTAGGCCAACAAACAATTACATTATGTAAAGCTTGATATATTGTATTTCTCTAACAAACTGTTGTTTTCTTCACTCAAAGTATGAGAATAAGGCACCGTTCACATGAAAAATCCAAATTCCAAAAATCCAAAAATCCATTGGCGGTATCTAGTGATCACGGGCTGTGCCCTGAATACCCCGTGGCGTAATTAACTAGCAACGCCAGCAAGTTACTTTCAAAGCTGTAATTAATTCTCGCTCTGGTAGTTAATAACGCCTTGGGGTATTCAGGGCACAGATCGTGATCACGTAAGTTTAACAACATCTAATCAACCCTTTAAACTCATTCACTAAATCACAACTTTTGCAATGCCATACCCACCATTAAAAAATAAGATTATTATCAGGATGTATCAAAACAGTCATGAAATCTAGGATTATGGTACATTAAACATTACTTTAACCAGTGCCAGTTATTTTTCACAAAAAGATAAAAACACAGTATATAATGTATTTTTACTATTTTTATGATGATATTCACTAAATTCACATTTCTTCTTTTCTGTTGAAGGTCAACCTTATCTAGCTTAGTCAGACTTTACTTGACTTTTGGCTGATTTAAAAAATGAAATTTCAATCCTGCCTAATATATATAATGTAATGTAACGTAAAAGTAAATGAACATTAAGGGTATAGAACTGTCCCCATAGAGGGTGGGAAACAAGGACAATTTGAAATTAATATATTTAAAGATACATTTTAAAGCATATGCTCCATCACACTTTCAGGACATCTAAACAACTTAGTTTAATGAGGCTTTGGTATAACCTACAGGTTTAACAGACAACTGATGTTTGAGAATGCCCTACTCCACCAGCCATGACCACAGATTCAACAACTGTGACTTTCTTTTGTTGGCCTGGCACCTATTATTAGGTCATTATTCCTGTAGCTATTGTTACACCAATTACAGTAACCACCTATTTGGTGTTATCAGATGTGTGGTCTAAGTCTGTTTATATGAGACAAGCAACAAATGAGTGAAGACTGTATTATCAAGCCAGTTCAAATTATTCAGGATCATAGTGGAAGAGTACAGAAAATTGGGTTGAAGAAAGTATGTATTACAATAATGCATTGGATCATTTGGGCATCCAATCAAATTGAAAATGAGATAATTTATCTTATTTGTAGTGTTCATTGTAAATATTATATCTACATTGCATTAAATAAGTTATAATTTATAATGCATACTTCCCTTTTAGAGCCAGAAAAAGACAAGGGTACAGAATGCAATCACTGTTTAGTCTCTTCATTTCTAATAAAACTATGATCAGTTGCTCATCAAAATGTTTCTTCAAATGCAATTGAAAAAAACATTCTCATTGCTTTTAAGTTTTTGTTTTGGGTTTATTAAACATTATCTACATAATTTTATCTGTCTCTTTCTGTGTTTCTAGAACAAATGGATACTTGGTGAATAATTGTTTATTTCAGGTGATCCTAGAGAGTAGACAACATACGGAACCTGATCTTGCTGTAATTATCTATAGTTGGTGGCTCGTTAAAACTCTCAAAGTGTATAAAAAATCAAGTACCTTTGTGATAAAAAAGTTATTTGAGAGTTTTTTTTTTTTTTTTCAGCCCATAAGAACCGTCAGCAACAGTTTCTTTTGAAGATTCTCTACTTGAAAGAGCTATGTAGAGTAAGTTTTATATGCAAAGAGAACCACACATTCTGTAAGTTGATTATAGCATTCAATATTACTTAAAGTTTTGTTATTATTATTAAGTATGGAATTGATTGTAATTTCAAAATCTTCATAATTTTGTGACCTGTTTCTTTTTACCTCTAACTTTTGTTTTTTTTTCAAAGGCTATGGAATGACCCTAGTTGGGGCTACTTGCATCAATCAATTCAAAGATATTAACCGACTCCAGAGATGTGAGAAATGTATTCTTCAAAGGGGTTTTAGCAGTTAAGTTCTTTGAAATTGGCAAAACTGTGTTTATCTATTTCTAAGTCATTCATTTACCTCTTTTATATGGACAATTTTAACATTACTTTATTGGTTTTAGAACAATTTTGATTTATTGTTTAAACAATAACATGCTAATTGAAATCTATCTATAATAGAGTTCTATCTCGACCATTGAGCAATCAACTCGTCGTTGTCAGAACTCCTTAGCTCACAATAGTGACACGCAGGTGACTGTCCTTACCACCTTACTGTGCCGCTATCAGTAAGCAACACCACCACTTAAGCGAGATACTTTCGTGGTCTCACTGTGATCTGCCTAGCAGATACACACATACAAAGGCGAGACACCTTTGTAAGGACGAGACGTCCTCGCACACAAGTGCACGTACAATCTGCGTAAGCAGACACACACTCACAAAGGCGAGACACCTTTGATGAGAACCGGGTTCTCTCCACCGGGAGAAAACCACTTGCTGCTATACAGCATTGACCACCCCCTCACTTTTTCCTTTTTTTTTTTTTTCTGTCGGACTCTGCAGCTGATGAAGGTCACTTGTTGACCGAAAAGCGCTTTTTCTTTGGTCACTTTCATACAGAGGTGAGACGCCTCTCTCTACACCACGCTGAGGTGAGACGCCTCATGCAGTACGCTGTACACAGCTACGCACACACTCTCCATCATATATAGCTTTAATCTGATATATCAAATCACTCCCTCACACATACGTAACGACGGAAAACATAGAGATTTTGAGCATTAAATCTCAACCCCGAGCGTCCCACTAACAAGCTCACAGCTCTTAACTAGGGGCGCTGTCAAAACACACGTACCCAGGGGCCCAGCTTTGGATCGTGTTATTTTGATCTGAGGTAGTTTAACTAAGGCATGAGCCGACCACCCCCAAACATTGAAATGATATTTTTCTTCTTTCGGTTGGATATTAAGATTTTTAGGATAGTTCTAGCATATTATAAATTTTGTTTATATTTTTAATGACCTAATAATGTTCTTTTTCTTTAAGATGGAGGAAACGGGACAGATGGGATGAACAGGGCAGGTGGAGACGGGTCCAATTCTGAAAATTTTGTTCGATTCATATTTTATTAACAAAGTACAATATATGACTACAATCTCTTGTTTGTTGTTGATATAATATTTTGATTGCTTGTGCTCATTGACAGACCAATTTCCAAGAAAATTGTTACTATTCTTATAAGCCAACATTTCTTATTCATGAAAACATGATGTTTTCAACTGAATTTACCTAATTAGTCTTGTACAGTTTAAAGATATTTGCATTTGACATCAAATGCAGCCCAACACCTGTATATAAAAAATTAATTTAAATATTATTATAAACAATCCGAGTGAATGTGAAGGAGGCATGCAGAAAGTGTGCAGGGAGTATGCAGGAAGGTATGCAAAAAGTGTACAGAAGGCATGCAAGAAGTATGCAGGAGGTGTACAATAAGTGTGCGAAGGTGCATGTATTTTACCATGCAAATGAGGCATGCTGCACATGTGCGGAAATCCTAAATGTGACTATGCCGCATTTATGCAGAAACTGTGTGAGGAAAGCCTGAAATTTTGCTAAGGAGATATATGTCAACAACTACCTATATGTTCTACATTAATTACGCCTTTTGAAAAAAAGAATAACACATATGTTGTATTACTGGTTCTACAAACTTTGAAAACAAAATATGCAGTAAGTATAATTTCATTCAAAATAATCATTAGTAGTACATCAAATATAACTATTTTGCTCCTTCATAAAATGAAATAATCGGCAGCTGTTCATGAAGAAAAGACAGTTGTTCTTTGGAATTAATGGTCTACAGAATGCATATCATTACCGACCATAGCATCACTATCTGCTAATACGTTGAAACAAAACATTGGTTTCTTTCTTGAAACCTCTCTCAACCAACTAGAATTTACATATTTTTCCAATATCTGTAATTAGCCCGTGTGAAGAAGTGAAGCTGTAGAACTAGATACCATTTCAAACGGATGGAGGACAAATGTAGTCACGTGTTCCACTTTCCATTTGCATCTCCAACAAAACCTTGCATAAATCATTTGCATAAATTATATATTTGTCTAAATCAGATCGGGTCTAAATCATGGTACATGACTCTTGGCAGTTAACTACTGATATTCAACTTCGAGATTTTGGTGTTGGTCTCCATGTTGTCTATACGTAGTTGATCCTCAATGTAGTCCTCGGCACTTCCAGTCATCTGTTTGAGGGCGTTAAATGCAAGGATGTCCAATCTGGGGTCAATGGAGGTCTCGGACTCGTAGTTCTTCACGGGTTGGACGTGATTACTCTGTATGCCGAATGCATCACCGATTTCTTTCACTTTCTTTTCAATCACAGGACTGTGAAATACCAAAGATGGGTCGTCAGCTACGTCCTCGGATACCTTGTCCACCTTGGTCAGGATCACATGGACCGGGATATCTGCCAAAGTTTAAACTACAGTGAATATGTTTTCCTGCTCTTAAAGCAATATTTGTACACACTGATCTGTGGTCAAGACAGCAAGACAAAGGCACCTTCAAATAATCAAGTCTACTGGTACCCATATGCTAAATGAGGCGAGGCTCAGATATGTTACCCATGGGACTTCTCTCTTCCACCCCTTGGCTTAATTAATTATTTATATTCAACCAAGGAAGGCCGATTTTACTTACATTTCAACCTACCCTTCAACTATGTGGAGTAACATGTTTCAGCACCCTTTAAAAAGGGTATGACGTTCAGAGAGGCGATGCCGCCTCTGGATATTGCACCACCAGCTGGAGTAAGCTCATTCGTATGGAAAACCAAAAACTAAGGGACACAACCATCAGTGTTGTGTTTGACAAGCTCTACAAAATGCAATAAACAAGACAAGAAATATACCCCCCCCCCCAAAAAAAAAAAAATCAGTGTATCATATATGTTGAAAAAAAAGGAATATGCCATTTTTGGAAATACAAGATATGGAAAATTTGCAAAGTACAGTTTATGGTGTAATGTTAGTCAAAGGTCTATTTTAAGGTCACAGATTGCCAGTATATGACCTCCTGTTCAAGTTCAATAGTTACTATGGGTGTATCTCTCCCAGCAGGCATAGTCGCGTTGGATCAATGGTGAAAACAGGTTGAATCACCGTTGATCTACCTAAATTCAACGTAAAATCAACGTTGATCCAGCCACCCCAGCAGGCAAACGACATTGATTCTACGTTGATTCAACGTTGATCCACCAAAATTAACGTTGATTCTACGGTGAATCAATGTCGTTTGTCTGCTGGGACTTCAAAACACCGTCATAATGTGACGTTGACTCAACATTGTATTTTGGTCATTGGCACAACCTTGCAAACATGGATTGTAATTTAAAATATTAATTATTGAAAACGTGATACTTTGTTTATCAATACTGTAACTAACTTTATCAAAATAATAAAAAAGCGTTTTAAAAGTAAAAGTGACAGTTGTTTTGTGTATTTAGTGAACTAGTGAATTTTCTTAACTTGTTATTCAGAAATACATTCCAATAAACTGAATTCCTTGCAAGGTCAGCTAACACTAAGCCCCCATTTCCAGATATTAGATCGATCTACTTTAGATCGACCTTAACTCCCTGGGGGTTCACGCTAAATAGCTGTCAGCCGAGCGGACACGAAAGTTAATTACCCCCTTACAGCTTGTAGTAGGCGGGACGGATATTTAAGCCGAATTATCTGACAGTAATCTTGTGAGACTCCCCACGGGGATAGATCGATCTAAAAGCTCTGGGAATACGCCCTAGGATGAATAAGTTATTGTAAATGTGATGGAGTGAAGTTAATAAAGAACATTTCAGGTCATTTTAATGTCTTTTCATGCAAGAATGTTGTCTAACAACTGGGGTTGATACAATGTTGTTATCTGACCTTGAGTCAACTTTCAAATCCATTGTCAAGTAGTGTTAGTTCATGGTAACAAGTGTCTGACATGTGCAGAGGAGTTTATTGTAATATATATTGTTCTTATTGTTACATTATATTAAATCTAACTCTGTATCCAAGTAGTAAATATACTGTACCAAGACAGGTATTGATGATGTGCACAGGTCATATATTCCAGAATAAGCCATTACCACTAATTTATAACTTTTATTTTTGTTTCATATGTTATTCATGAAAGAGTTCATGAAATATTATTTTAAGTTGTTAAATCGTGATCTTATTCTTTTTATATTAAAAAAAATGAATAATTTGGGTAAAATTGGTCTTCCACTTCTTTTTTGCATTTTTCCTTTACTACAAAATTATTTTGGAACAGTTGCAGCATTAGAAATTAAAATAAATAGCAATCTGAAAGAAGAATTTTGCATAATGGGGTATAACAGCCCGCTTGGCGCCAGATGTCGCTAGTGTGAATTCAGTCCTTCCACAGTCGCCAATTTGGAAATAACACACGTGGGACTGTGGCACTGCTCATAATAAACATGCCGCAGTATTGTTGTGTACCTGAATGTCAACGTCGGCAATGTGGGTACAATTTTCCTGAGGATTCAGGGCTTCGTTTGAAGTGAAGGGTTGTCCATGTCAACACACCATCCATGTTAAAGGGACAGTCACAACTTGACCCAGGCACAGTAATAAGGTCGGGCGACAAGTTTTTTTTCAGTTGCACTATGGATTGCGCACGCTTGCTCCGCAAGGTGTCGCCTGTGGAGGGGGGGCAGCACAGCCCATGTGGTTACTGTGACGAAGGTGACAAGTACTTCCGAACATTTTTCATAACTGTCATTATTCCTCATTCTATTCACAAATTTGATATTTACGGCAATGGAAAATGTGGCACTGGCAAAAGTGGGTCTAGGTGCGTTGACGGGCCGCACAGGTGTCCCCAACATTAACCGCTGCCAGAGAATCCCGAAGCATTAAACTACACAACCTGTAGATATTGGAAATTTGGCCAAAGTTAAGCAAATGAGGCTTTAATAGATTTGGGTAGAAATAGAGAGGAATGTCCAGTGACATGCCAAACCCCTAAGTTTAAGTCTTGGCCTTTGACACCTGTAACGCACCCCTTAGTCAAGAATCTGAACAAATCAACGTTGGGTAGGTATGCTTTGTTTTCTACCGGCGTTTTTGTGATTTTATCAACTTGATTGTCCAGTGCCAGACCTTTTGTTCCCAGGTACTAGTAGCAAACTTTATCAGATAACAATCTGACACAGCGCCGTAAACCCAGTTATCAATGCTGTCGTCTTTACCTGTATCTCTACCGGTATTATACCAGTGGTACGTCCGATATATATCAGTAAGGAAATATGCTGTGATGCTTATATTTATTTGTAATACGTTAGCATCAACCTGTTCATAAAAACTTGGAACCTTTCAGTATTATTACACAATAACAGTATATTGACATCATGGGAGTTGTTATGATTAAATGCTTAGAAGAAATAATAAAAACAGATTACGTAAAATAAAAAAATGAATTAATTTTATTTGAGTTATTTTTTTTTTCAAACCAATTAATTATCAAACATGAATATTATTTTCAGAAACATCAACATATATTACTGCATTATAAATCTGCTGGTACACAGATCTACAGTTCTAAAATGCAAATACCAAGTACCTTTCACACACAAATGATGAGATGTAAATAATCATATGTATAAAGTAGTAAAAATTCCACAAAATGTGTGTAGGCAAGATATTTCTTCAAGTAACCTCATTAAGCAGCCAGGAAACTTCATAATGCCCTCAATAAATGTAGAAATTTGAGCAAGAGAAATTCTACATACATGTGTACAGGCATGACCGATTTACCATATATTGCCACCAACCTTAAACTGAATGGGCATTTTAAAGAACAAAGTGAGTTAAAAATGAATAAGTAATAAAAAACAGATACTGTCATTCTTAATACTGAAAAACAATGGCACCTTGCAGCCTTCACTGCCTCATTATTTGCAAACAATGTTCTAGTCACTGTCACTGTGTACTTTTGATTGAATTATATTGTGGAGGTCTTTTTTGTCATCAATCTGACACATATAATCTGAATGTACATATTGCAATTCACACCGCAGCGGCTTGTGTTAGTAAGGACTCAACCAGTTGAAAACTTGTGGCACAGTTTCAGAGACAGGATCACACAAACTACCCTTGCAGTGATGATGGATCTACAAGTACATTATCTGTCTTGTCCTCCTAGTTTCTCTAATACTATTTCCCCTGATCTATGCTCACATCAACCTCTACAGCTTTACCAACTTCTACGCAGTTTTTGCATCTGAAAGTATAAAGCAAAAATGTAATAAAGCACTATCAATTTACTTGTTATATATTTATATTTCAGGGCGAGAGAAAAAAGGCAGAAACCGCATATCATATCAATTTCATGCATTACTTGCTGTCGCCCTGTCCTCCTCAAACTATCGTGCATAGTCCGGTTGCTTAGGGCAAAAAAATGGCCAAATCGTGACACGGCGGATAAAAGCACCAAATTTTGCATGTGGGTACCTTTTGACATACTAAATCAAATTAGAGCCGTAGCCCACGGAAAAAATGTACCGTTTGGCCAAAAATCCAAAATGGCCGCCAATTTGTGAAATTCTGTAGAAATATATACATACCTATGTTGATTTTTATCATATTAAGTATTTTCCCAATGTTTTCCACATCCTTATTACCCATATTATGCATATGTGTCAGATAACAAACAAGTGTCCATGGACTTTTTGAAAAATCCAAGATGGCTGCCATATGGCATAGGAATACTAGATCATGTACACGGGTTTTCAACTAACTAATGCCAACTAGGAAGATGCATTGCCCACTATCTAATTGTTTCTTATTACACAAATAATATATAGATGGCCTCCATATCAAAGGAATACTAGTATACACATAGAGCTTCTTCTGCCATGGAGATATAATATTAATTGATAAGTTAGGTTTGATTCTGAGTATTTTCCACATCTTTTTAATTCACATAATATATATATATGATGAAAATGTTATGTGTATCCTTTTTGAAAAGAAAACAAAACAAAATGGCTGCCATTAGCCATAGAAGGTGGGGTTCAGTTAATACCTGCGGGAGATAGGCTTACATATAAAATGAAGCTGAATTCAGTTGTTATTCTGTTTTTTTAGTATTATTATCCCATGATACATATCTGTTAGGTTATTAATGTCCATATTTTATCATTTTGGGGAAATACAAGATGGCCTTCTTTTCCCCATAGGAAAACTGGTGCATTAGATTTTATACGCACTTCTAAGGCAAATGAGGGTAATCATGATAATTTATCAAAATACTTAAGGGTATACACTTGTTACCCACCAGATAGATATCTCAAAGTCCAAAAAGAATGTGGGAAATACCGAGAAACAAAATTAATTTTACATTGAACCCAATGTCTCTCTGGCAGTAGTTGAATGTACTATTCCTATTGTGAATTGCAGCAATCTTGAATTTTCTCAAATGTGCAAGATGCACACTTGCTACACACCAGATTTATATAGAGTAAGGTTAATAAGGATGTCAGCATGTTTGAACATCAAATGGCTTTATTTCATATTGGAATCAATGTCTGAACTGTTCCATAAATTGACACGTATTTGCATTTGAATAATATATTCCTATGACAACTGGCAGCTATCTTGGGTTTTCTCCGAATAATACTCAAGGATACATACACTTTCTACACACACAGAGTCTTTCATAAGGATAAATAGGATATGAAAAACATTTAAGAAAACTTGATAAGCAAACACAGTTTCACCCTGGTAGTAGATGAAAAGCCATGGATGGGCAGTTGTAATTCCAGCAGTATTCCTATGGCCAATGACGGCCATCTTGGATTTTTTCAAAATGATCAAATATGCACATTTATTACCTGCTAGATATGTATCACAGTGTAATAATTATGTGTAAAACACTAAAAAATAATAAAATGAATTTGATAGTGAATTAGTTGGCATTAGTTCCAACCCTTAGTAATACTAGAAGTATTCCTATGACATATGGCGGCCATCTTGGATTTTCTCAAAATGTCCAGGAATACATGTTAGTTACCACATACATATTGTGTGGGTGGAAAGGATGTGGAAAACACCCAGAAACAAACTTAATTTGATAGTGGAAAATTAATCTTCCCAGTTGCCATTAGTTGAATTCCCCCATATACTAGAATTCCTGTGGCACATGGCAGCCATCTTGGATTTTCCAAAATGCCCAAGAACACTTCGTAGTTACTCACCACAAACATATTATGTGGGTAACAAAAATCTGACAAACAGACTTAATTTGATAGTGGATAACGTATCTTTCTAGCTGGTATTAGTTGTGCACTAGTATTCCTATGGCTGTTTCTATGGCATATGTCAGCCATCTTGGATTTTTTCAAAAAGTCCAAGGGAACTTGTTTGCTATCTGACATATATGAATAAAATGGGTAATAAGGGTGTGGAAAACTCTGAGAAAATAATTTATTTGATAAAAATCAACATAGGTATGTACACATTTCTATAGAATTCCATAAATTGGCGGCCATTTTGGATTTTTTGGCCAAACGGTAATTTTTTTCCGAGGGCTACGGCTCTAATTTGATTTAGTATGTGAAAAGGTACCCACATGCAAAATTTAGTGCTTTTATCCGCCGTGTCACGATTTTTTCCTTAAGCCACCGGACTAGCACATCAGTTTTTGATTTTCAGTGTCATCAAAATGTTACATTGTTGTTAGTAATATCTATGTATCTGCTATTCAAATAGTATCGTTTGGAAAATAACTAAAAATTTAATTATGCTTTTGCAACATGAAATTATCATTAACTTTGCCGGTTCACGTGTACATAGTACCTTGCTATCAATGCTGCTCTTTTCTCCCCAACTCGCCACTGACAGGCTTACCACATCGTTCCAAAACAAAGTTGGCATGATCCTTTACTTTTGGTGTTGGCAGTTTCGCCCCGGGAACATCGTCTTCGTTTAAAAACAACGTATCGTATTCACCCATCTTTGCATTGCTCCTGTACAAAATGTCCGCTTGCTGCCCCCCAATGGAAAAATCGTAGCACGTGTGTAGTAACGCAAGACCTGTGACGTATAACGCGCGCGACCTTATTAGGCCCTTACAGATAGACGAGTTGCCTCAAAAAGAATACACGTAGAAATGTTAATTGATTTTGGCAAAACTTATAAAATTTTGAAAAGAGTGCTCCATGGCAAGAAAGTGCCCCTAGGAGGTATGGTTTATCAAAGTGCGTTTTCTTATGTCCAATTTCAGAAGAGTTATTGTCAGTAAATATGCATAAGTACCGGTAGTACCTGTATAAGGTTCTGTTATTAAGTAATATCCTTTTTTATTGATGTAATGAGCATGACAGGTAATGTTAAATAAAATAATTATTTTTTATTTAAAATAATTGTTCAGTCCATCGTAAGAATCATGAAACTAGGTATAGTTAGATAATTTATTTGTGCGCCAACTTTCCTGAATGTACATGTATAGCTGCAATTTCTCAGCCAATGGGATACTGCAGGTTTGGAAAACTTTTTGCAACAGTTTAAGAAATAAAATATAAAGTAAGCAAA